ATAAGGTTCTTCAAATTCTTTGTTATCCACTTTGGGTCATTAGTATACGATCTATTCAATTTGTATGGTATACTACGTTCCTGTGCTTTGTTTAGAATATTCTTAAATAAGTTATATATTGAATCCACATCGAAATCCCCATTTAAGTCTCCTATCGCTGGGTTCATGTCTCGCTCCAAGACCGGCCCACACCCCATACCCAAGCCTTTCCAATCAATTTGACCCAAAAAATTTCTTAGGCTATTAAAATCAGCTTTTCGAAAATCTGGCACTTTAACAGAATTTTCTCCTACTGGTCTATTCCATTCTATGCTAAATCTGATTTCTTTGTGATCACTGCTCCCTAGCTCACTCCCTATTTCGATGTCATTAATTTGCGTTTCCCTGTTAGTTAACACTAAATCTAAAATATTATTTTCCCGTGTTGGTTCCTTAATGTGTTGCGTAAGAAAGCAATCGTCAATTAATTCTAGAAAATCTTCTGCTTCACTATTCCCTGTTTTGTTCAACCAGTTTATTCCGCTAAAATTAAAGTCACCCATGACATAAATACTGTTAGATCTAGATGCTCTAGATATTTCATCCCATAGATGCTTTGCTTCCATTCTGTCTAAATTTGGTGGCCTATATATTACTCCTATTATAATATTATTAGCTTTTTCGTTTAATTCAATCCAAATAGTTTCTGTGTGTGGCTCTGTTTTGATTCCCTCTTTGAGACTACATTTCAAATTGTCCCTAACATATATGGCTACTCCACCTCCTCGTCTAATATATCTATCTGTGTGAAATAGTTTAAATCCATATATTTGATATTCAGCTAATAGTTCTCTATTTTCTACATTCATCCACGTTTCGGTAAGTGCAATAATATCTATTTTTTCTGTGCAGACAAGAGCATTTAATTCGTTAATTTTATTTCTTAGACTTCTACTGTTAGTGTAATATACCCTAAGTGAATTGTTATTTTGCGGACCTTCTCTTTCCCTGATCGTTTTGCCAATTCCTTTCTCCCACACACACATACTTTTATTACCTCCTTCCTCCAAATCAATTCCCATACCTCTATCTACTAACAGTTTAAACCCAAACAAAACACCTCTAACCACTTCTTCTAGCGAGTTCGCAACAGCAACAACCCCAGCTCTCGATAGATGCACCCCATCACGAGCATACATTTCATTTCTTCCATAGAAGTGTTCCCAGTTGTCTATGAAAGATATTGCATTTGATTTGCAATATCTTTCCAGCCGGCAATTGACACCAAGTGCCCTCGATATCCATTCATTTCCCACTCCCTTTCTTGGAAGAATGCCACATATGATCGGGATTCCTCCCTTGCTCCTAACTAACTCTATGGCTGTTTTATACCTCTGAATCAGTTCCTCACTCCTGACTCGACCAACATCATTTCCTCCCACGCTAATGCAAATAATGGGATTGTTCCCATTACCAGCCATAATATCATTCATGTTGTTTATAATATCACCAATGCCAGCTCCGAAGCAACGAAGCAACGAAGAGAAAGTACCCTATACCATATGATATGTAAATTGCTTGATTCCAATAAATCAATAAATCAAGCAATTTACATATAAGTGTTACACTCTTGGGGCAAAATTCTTGTGGCTCCTAAGTATTCTGTCTATCATACCATTATCACTCATCTAAACAATTTGATGTGGTACACTACTTATTTCCTTATTTCTATAGTTATCAATAAGTTGACACTCTAATACATAAGTTCACTGACATCAACACCGTATTGCCAGATATATTTGTATCCTAATCTTAATTTCATGTAAATTGAATCTTTCCAAGTAGACTTTCCTCTACCATAAGTGGACCCACCACAGCCCGGACCAACCGGGCTGTGGTGGGTATGTAGCCTGCGGGCCGCTCCAAGCAACAGCCTGGTGGACCAAACTCTCACAAGTCGAGCCTGGCCTCGGGCCGGGCTTGGGGAGTAGAAGAACTCCCAGAACCCCATCAACCAGGTAAGTGGAGGACGAATTTGTATTTATTATTGCATAATTCTTAAGAATTCACCTAGGTGTGCTTGCGGGGGTTGAGCTCTACTCTTTCGGCCCGCCTCTCAACTGTTACTACAATTTTTTCCAGTATCTCTTAGGCAGAGCAATACATTCTGGAAAACATACTTTATAACATTAGAACATAAGATACTCATATATGCCCTCTTCTTATACTTTATCATACATTGTTCATTACTTCCCACCTTTTGAACTGAGAGGATTAATTCATTAGCTCCCCCACCTCTCATTATTCTAATGGCAGAGGCTACATTTATCTCTGAAATTCTATCCCCAATACTCTGCAGATTCAACTCCATCCTCATTATCTCAATCACAGCATTTCTTGGGCATCCTAAGATAATTCTCATGGCTTCATTTTGTACCTTCTCCAACTTGCCCATCCTACCTTTACCAAAACAAGAAATGACAGGTGCACCATAATCAATAAGAGATCTGACAGTACTCAGTTGTATCATTCGTAGCACAGGGGGACTCCCACTCCTTTTCCACAGCATGCCAAGGCCTACAGAGGTTGTAATCTCTTCCGACATTGACCCAACAGTCTGTTCATCTCAGCTTCCAAACTTTAGGTACATTCAAACTTAGTTTTGTCTTCATTAACCACCAGTCCCATGTGGTGGCACAGATTTCCGAAATTATCCAACACCGTTTGAACCTTTGAAATATCTTTGCCCTGAAACAAGATATCATCGGCATATACGATCAAACTTGAACGACACAGACAAGTTAGCTAAAACTGTATGTGATGAGCCTGAAATTGAGTTGGATATGGGCATTCTAATCTCTGCTGTAAAAGCCGCAATATTTCAGGAAATTACGGAAGACAGAAGAGCAGTTACTGACACTCAAAGGCCAAAAAGCACGAGTATAAAGAGCTATGACATGTTTAGAACCGAGAATTATATGTACTGGCAGCATAAACCATCCACCAGTGTGACATTGTAATTTCCAGAATTAGGCTTGGATATTGATATCTATGGCAGGTGGCTGCAGATAATGAATTCCCCAATGGTGAACATTCACAACGTAAACTATGTGAACAAGAGCTGGGACATACTCTCCAAAACTATATCTGTGATTGCCCTGTTATAAGTGACTTCCGACCTAATGGTATGAGGTACTTTGAGCTCTGTAATTACTTCATACACTCAGGAATATTGGAATATATTCTTATACTGTACCCAGATTTTGCTAGTAGAGGTTAATAAATCAACCTTACATTTCATCTCTCGACTTTTAGTCAGAGGATTGATTTGTTTTTGTATTGAGGCTGCTATTTTCTCCCCTGATTCCATGTACGACTAACCATCCTGTGAGATGGGAATATTACATGAACTTACAGCTAGTTTTTTCATCTACAGTGTAATATTTCATATAGAATAGGGTAGCAACACATTGCTGTGTATACTGAAGCTTGTTAATTTAAAAAAATAAATTAAAAGAATTATTATTATTAAAAAGAATTTACACTTTTGGGGCAAAGTGTTTGAACCTCTTAAGAATTCTCTCCGTCATAACATTATCACACATTCCAAACAATTTGACGTGGTACACTATTTATTTCTTTATTTTTATTGGAATCAAGCAATTTACATATCATATGGTATAGGGTGCATAATAAATTAACTAAACTAACTCTTATACTGTACAGTGATTTAACATGCAAGCATACTGCATAATTTACATTCCTTATCTTTTTCATTGACATCAGCACTATATTGCTATCAATATTTATACCATAATCTTAAGATCATGTACAAAGTCCTTTCAAATAGACTTTCCCCTTCCATATACGTGAAGGACAAGGACGAGTTCGTGTTTATTATATATTGCATAATGCTAAAGTAGGTAATTATCAAAAGAAGGCACCATGCATAATGTTTAAGTAGGTTATTGGTGTCCACCATTAACATTCTCTTAGATTTTTTTATATACTCTTGGATCAGCTTAATTCTTGTCTTTATTTGTGTCTTATTTGACATTGTTTATACTACCATTGCCAAGAGCTTTGTCCGTAGCCCTCTTTGCTATCTCATCAGCTGCCGCATTAAACAATATTCCCACATGCGATGGGATTCACATAAATCTTACTTTACATAAATTGTTTTGTTTCTTAATGTTCTCTCTATACTTATCCACAATATGCTAATATATTGGTCTGCTGTTATTTAATGACCCCAATTCCTCTACTATCAATAAAGACACATGCATCTTTATCACTCTTTATTACTTCCTTTAAGCCCACTAATGTTCAGCCTGCATTGAAGACACATTGTGGTAAGACACTCGCCCGGCGTTTCGTGAGCATTTGGCCTGGGTTTGTATTGACCAGGCACCAATTCTTAACTGTAGCATCAATTCACCCAGCAGTGAATGGGGTACCCAGTTAAATGATTTGGCGGGTCGTATTCCGGGGAAAAATTAGGATCAAGGGCCTGCCCGAAATGCTATTCGTGCTAGTGACCTTACAAGAATGTAAGAACTGTTGTATATATAAATAAGTAAAATAAAATAAAATAAAAAATTCATCAGCTTCCCCACCTCTCATTAATTTAATTGCTGAAGGTACATTTCTCTCAAATTCTATCCCTAATATTATAAGTTCAATTACATTCTCATTATCTTTGTTAAATCAACATTTGTTACATCAGTTTACATTTGTCTAAATGTAACAGTCTAAATTTTGAATGTACAGTACCTTAATTTCCCCATAAGATTAAAAGAACTAAATTCCCCATAAGATTAAAAGAATTAACAGATGATTGCTACTTGCATTAGATAACTTATGATATTAGGCCAATGAGAATGAGCTGCCTAAAGCTACATAGATACAGCATTTTCTACAAGCAATATAAAGTGAAACATTTGTATTTTATCAAGTTAATAATGCAGTGGAAAAAAGGGGATTCAAAAATATAAATGAAAATATGAAAGTAAAGATGCTCCCAAAGTTAGTTTTCTTTAATAATTTTAATGGTGTCAAAATTTATTACAGTATATAAACAATACATGTGAGATGATAAGACTAAGTCACTTGTTCTGTTAATTGTGTCCGTTTGTGCTTCATTTTTTTATTTTTCAACTTTCGTCTGTGATTATTCACTCTTGCCTGAGCCTTTTTCTGTTTTTTAGCATCTCTAGCTTGCTTTAACTTCATCAAGCTGCTTTTCTTCATCACTTGAAAGGTGCTCTTTTTGAGAGAGCGATACAGGTCTTTCTGACTGTGAATGCCAAGCTCATCTAATTTTTCTTTATCTATTTCATCGTCATCCTCATTCCCAGAATCTTCCTTAACTATACTTTTGGTAGATGCCATTTTTGGGTGTGCATTTCCAAGTCCCATCTGTAATCAAAAGAGTTTGTTGTTTTAGTTGTAAGATGAAGTAATTATCACAAGAAAGTGCTTAGCCATTACAGCGATATAACTCTTGGAAGAGATGAGGATAAGGATTTAGGATAGGACAGAGGGAAGGAATGGTGCCCAACCACTTGGACGGATGCAGATTGAATGCCAACCTGCAAGACAGTACAGTCGCTGTACTGTACAGTCCAAGTGGTTGGGCGAAGTGATTATGTATACAGTATTGGAGAATTGAAGAATGTTAAACGGCAACAATATCGAGATGAATAAATAGACAATACAGCACTTAAAATTCTCAACTCCTGAAATATTTTTCATATGAAGGAACCCTTATCCTGTGTAATAAATATATATTTTATATTTTTTTTAAATATATATATAGTACAGTATATAAACACAAATACCTGTACTTGCCTGATTGGTTCCAATGTGATGCTGAGAGGAGATCAAGTCAATTCCAGATATTTCAACTGTAGCAGACCCACAGTCGGTAACAGTTACATTATTATTTTCCACATTATCTTCCTCGTCATCATTGTCACTTTCTGGCATTTCTTGATTGTTGTATATCATTTTCTTGATCAATTGAACTCGCTGAAAAATAAGTGTACAGTGTGGTACTTAATTAATTTACCTTATTTACTACTTATACACTGTACAGTACTTAGGTTATCTTTCTGACTTGTTGCATACAGTATTTTTAAAGCAGTAATTTGCATGTCTATTATTAAAAGTGAATTATTCACACAGAATAGCAAGAGCAAATGTATTCTCAGGAATATTCTATAGAATTTTTTAAACTGTACACAACATAATATGTTTGATATTTGTTTATAATCTGACTAGCAAGTAGATTATACATTAGACTATTGCAATAATTCAGATAAAATTTGATAACAAATAATTAAGATTACTTTCAATGAGAGTGATGTGACCTAGAATTGCTATTCACTTGTCACACTAATCAGATGAGGGATATCGACTCCCAATTTCTGACTTGGTATTGGAAGCAATGTTTAACACTGCTACATTAACGAAATACTCTGTACAAAAGAACACAAGTGTTTACTCTAAACAAAATCAAGTTTCAAATGTAATGAGTAGCCTTTTCTGGTGGGCCCCCAGTAGCTCCCTGAGTTTAGCTCTGTTACCACGAAGGATCAGAACTATGGACCTCTCTATAAAGTGAGGGGAGCTTAGGGATTAGAGATTGACTCAAAACCAGCTAAAGCCCACCAGAAAGCATAGGCATTACAAAACAAGAATCTGTTTGAAGTAAATTCGTTGCCCTATGGTACACAAGACAAATGATTGTTGTCATAGAGTAAATATCTTAATAGTGATGCACCTAGGCCAGCCTGGTCTTTCACTTTGGAGCTGGCTGTGTAAAACCCCACAGGGAAGAAGGGAACAGGATGCAAAGGAACCTCTCAGTAGCTCCCTGAACTTTCTCAAAACAGTACCTTGACAGAGAAAGCCACCTATTCTGGAAAACACAAAATGTGGACGGGGCTTAACCATGGAAGAACAGGAGAGGGCCAAGTGCAAAGAATGGCAGCTACAAGCCAAACATCCAGAGCAACATAAATGAAGTGAGGCTAACGGATATCAGCAAGGAATGAGAAACAAAAGCAGAAAGACTGTAAGAACCCCGAGCCCAAATAATAGCCACAGGAAGACTGGCAAAGAAAGCCTTCAAAGCCGCAAACAGTTGTACAGAACATCCATAGAGTAGGAATAAACAGCTGACTGAACCAAACCAAAATTTTTCAAAACCTGGGAAAGACAGGGCTTTAGATCAAGGTATATTAGAAACAGGGACAATAAACAGAGCCATGACCCCAACAGCACAATGTTCTCACAAAAAACATATTGCAGCCACATATGTTGAGGTACTGTATTGGCACTAGGTGGACAAGTGAGCATTAAGTCTGGCTAAGACCCTCAGGTGACCTGACCTGTGCTGCCATCTGGTGTCAGTCGAGGACATCATGATTAGAGTACTACAAAGTTACATGAATAGCAAATTAGGAAAACTGACTTACATCTTTTCTTATATTCTTCATTTCATTTTTAAGATCTTCTTCAATCTGTTTGTGGGCCTTTTCACGTCTCTCTCGCTTCCTTTTCTGAAATCCTGTGAGATATTCCCTGAAATAAATAAAAATGCTTTAGTAGAATAATTAAGGAATATGGTAAAGTTATGAAATATTCTTCAAAACAAAGTACTGTATGGTGAAAGTGAGGAAAATGAATTAAATATAGTACGCTTGAGCTGTAAGATAACAAATGACAAACATACAGTATTCCCAGACTGGCATTTTTTAGAATATGTAGAGAGAGGTGCAAGGAATTCAGGGTAAAAATGATATCAGTGTGTTTAAAACAGGTAGCATACTGAGTAGTGTTTCACTGAGTAGATTTTACTAATCTATTTCTGTAGAATCAGTATCAGCAAGATTTCAGCTGATACCATTAGATGATGTCTGACACTCTCCCACCCTTTTCACTGGAACTCAATCTTTCATCTGATTTATAACCAGGTCCCCATTACTGCTGAGTGTACATGGGTGAACAGTTACGGACTGGTGACCAATCATCTATCCCTTCCCAGACAGATGCATTATGAAGCAAGACTAGGGGAATTAAATCTCATCTAACTGGAAGACAAAGTTAGGAAAGACATGATTACAGGGGTAGAGGACATTATTTGGAATGTGTGATACATGAACAAGGGAAAACAAAGGTACAGAGCTACAGACACATGGAAATACTGCTGTGAGGCATCCCCAGATACTACCTTCTACAGAAGACACACTGCAATATTATTTATCAGCATCAGGTGACCCCATATGATATACTGTATATATATATAAATTATAGTAGTTACAGTACTGAATTGCCAGGGGGGAGGGGGGGGGGTGAATGGTAACCTGGCAGACCAGGTTTGAATCCTTGAGGGGTCATTGAGTTGACAGTTGGACATGAGCAAACAAAAAGCAATCCAGAAACCTGCAAAAACCCAGCCCCTCTCTAACAGGCCAAAAACAACCCTTTCTATGCCAGACAAACCAGGGAAAAATAAAAAATCTATCAACTTCTCTGTGACCCAGAAAATATATCAGCATCGTTTGAATTCAGATAATTAAAGAGTGCCCTATATCAATATCAGTAACCAACAGCCAACAATTTTAACACATTGCTGAGAACCTCCAAGTAGAGCAGGAAGCAGAGGTCAATGCCCAGATTGGTACAACGCCTGGAGCACATATTGTCTTGGGTCATAAGGAAAGCTACTGATTTTCTGGCATTTGCTGGCTTAATCTTCGAGTGTTGAACAGCGGTTCAGAGATGGTTTAGCTGAGAGGTGCCAGGATTTGACAAGTTTTACAAGTTCCTGTGTGTTTACCAGACCACACACTAGAAGGTGAAGGGACGACGACGTTTCGGTCCGTCCTGGACCATTCTCAAGTCGATTGTTCACATTCTCACAATTGACTTGAGAATGGTCCAGGACGGACAGAAACGTCATCGTCCCTTCACCTTCTAGTGTGTGGTCTGGTTAACATACTTTAGCCACGTTATTGTGACTTATTGCCTGCAAGCTCCTGTGTACCTTCTGGAAGTAAAAGGCAATTGGCTTTTGCTGTGCTATGGTAGCTATCCTGTAGGTTGTGTGGGTGACTGACACATGCCATACTGTGGATGGTCCGGTGGTGCCAGGTGTGCCACACAGCTTGGCAGTCTAGTTTTGCCGAATGGCAGTATTGTTATTTTGGGGAGACACTGACTCCAGTTTGCTCTCCATACTGAAGACCAGTTCAGCAAGATGCACATGGCTAATTCTGTCGCTGCCCTAATCTGTAAGTTATTTCTATGGCTGTACACCTGTTTACTCCAGCCGTAACTAATGATTTCTATAAATCACCGATAAATAAAGTCTAAATCTAAATATAAATGCAGATTATACAATATATAATTATAATGATGTACAAACGTACAAACTGAGCTATTTGCCATACAACAGGCATTCGCATATGTGATTGCGCAAAACACTCAAAATGCAATCATACACACAGAATCAAAAGCTGCACTTCAAATACTAGGACAAAAACAGTGGAAAGATAATGTGGAAATAATTACCACCATTTTGTATCTTGGAGCAGTCGCTAAAGGCAAAGGACTCCACATAACTTTAAACTGGATCCCATCCCATATTGGAATCCCATTAAATGAAAAAGCTGATGAAATTGCTAAATTGGCAACTCGTTATCCAGTGATACATAAAACAATTCAACCCAGCCTAGAGAACATAAAAAACATCATCACCAAAATACTCTCACATCTCAACAAAGCCGACCTGCACCAGAGAATAGCTGAAGGTTCGCCATCTGCAACATGGTATCTTCTGGCAACCAAATTAGAAAGGTTAAATATCCCAAAAGGAATCCACAGGGAAATAGCAGTTAGATTATATAGACTACGTCTAGGTTACAGATGCAACTGGGAGATTGGTGAACCCCGACAGAGAGTGCATCTTCTGCCAAACTGTCACAGAAAAGCCATTACTTCACTATCTTCTGGAATGTGAAGCAACCAGTGACCTTAGAAGAGCTTTAAGAGTTCCTGAATCATGCAGTGGCCACCCTGAAGCCATCAACACAGCCACTCTCCTGGTCAACAAAGGTGTCCAGCAGCTGGACACCCTCATAAAGACTGTGAAGCAGTATCCTCCCCCGCGATAACAGCTTGATGGTTAAATGCAAACTCAGAATACTGAGAAAAAAAAAATTGTACCACTTACGGGCTATTCATGCCCGTGCCACCTCTTGAGTGGCTTAATCTTCATCAATCAATCAATCTCCTCATAACTCTTACGGGCTATTCATACCCGTGCCACCTTTTGGGTGGCTTAATCTTCATCAATCAATCAATCTCCTCATCCGGACTAGAGGAAGAAAGGTGGCACAAAATCCTTACAGCATGTGAAGAAGTCTCTGACACTAATGCCCCCTTCACACTGGATGAGCTCAATCGGGCTAAGAAAAACTCCAAAGATACATCCCCTGGAGCCGACAAAATAACCTATAAAATGATTAGAAACCTCGGCCCAGAGGGAGACGCTGCATACCTAAGGTTAATTAATTTAGCCTGGACTTCTCAAACTAGACCTTCTGCTTGGAATAGAGCAGACATAGTGCCGATCCCAAAACCCAAAGATCCAGCTAATCCCAGGCCCATCTCTCTCCAAAGCTGTGCAGCCAAGACGGCTGACAGAATGGCACTCAACAGACTGGAGTGGAAAATGCCTAAACTGCACCATGATATGTATGCCTATAGAAGAGGGGTTGGCACAGTGGAATGTATTATAACTCTGTTAGCCCACTTGAATGACAGACCAGGAATGCTGATATTCCTGGACCTCGAAAAAGCCTTTGAACTGGCTAGCGCCCCAGCTATTCTCTGCTGCCTCATTGACAAAGAGGTCAAAGGCAACCTGCTCTCCTGGACCAAAAACTGTCTCATAAACAGAGAAGCAAGAGTAAAACTTCATGGCACAGTCTCTGAGTACAAAAGACATGAAAATGGTACACCGCAAGGAGGTATTCTTAGCCCTCTTCTCTTCAACTGTTTAATGGAAAGAATAATGAGGTTGAAACTCCCACATCACTGCAGGCTGCTAAACTACGCGGACGACTTTGTCATCATCATAAAAGGAAGGGATGCGGCGCGCCTTGCACCCAAATGCTTAGACTGCATCAGTAAAGAGGCAAAACAGATTGGGATCAAACTCAACCCCTCAAAGTCAAAGGCCATGCCCATAAAAATAGCGAAGCCCAACATCCAACTCACAGTACAGGGTCAACCAATAGAATGGGTCGACACCTATCAGTATCTAGGAATCATCCTGGACACACACATGAATTTTAATGCTGAGGTCACATACTTGAGAGAGCGAACTGCGGCCCGGACGGCAATCCTCAGGTCGCTAACCTCCCTTTCTGGAGGAGCCAATCTGCAAGTCCTTCGCACATACTATGTACAGGCAGTCAGATCAGTGATCGATTATGCCGCACCTGCACTCACAAATCTATCACACCAACAGTGGAAAAAGCTTGAAGTTGCCCAAAACAATGCTATGAGAGCTGCACTGGGAGCCCCCATGTGGACGAGGCTTGAAACTCTTAGACTGGAGACGGGTTTGCCCTCTCTACAAGAAAGAATATCACAAAGGACAGCTACAATTATCAGTAAGATAATTATTTCTTCTGATCCAATCCCAGTACGGCAGGCCTTGGTGGTTGGACTAGGCCAAAACAATGGAAACTCTTGGGTTGCAAGAGCAGGAAAAGTCATAAACAGACTACATTTAAAAAACATGATTCTTGATAGAGAGGGTGATCATCCACACCCAAATTACACTCCTTCCGCCCCGTGGGAAGAGCCTACTTTCAAAATAGTAATAGAAAGTCTCCCAATGAAAAAGGCTGCCTATGATCCGACAATCCTAAGGCGCATAATAGAAGAGCAAATGTATAGCATAGCAGTAGCAGGAGCCACCCACATCTTCACAGACGGATCGGTGGACACAGAAAATGAGAGTGCTGGCGCTGCTCTTTGCACGACCAGCGTTCAGGCATATTGGAGACTGGGAGGACTAGTATCATCAACCCAAACTGAGCTGTTCGCCATACAACAGGCATTCGCATATGTGATTGCACAAAACACTCAAAATGCAATCATACACACAGACTCAAAAGCTGCACTTCAAATACTAGGACAAAAACAGTGGAAAGATAATGTGGAAATAATTACCACCATTTTGTATCAAGGAGCAGTCGCTAAAGGCAAAGGCCTCAACATAACTTTAAACTGGATCCCATCCCATATTGGAATCCCATTAAATGAAAAAGCTGATGAAATTGCTAAATTGGCAACTCGTCATCCAGTGATACATAAAACAATTCAACCCAGCCTAGAGAACATAAAAAACATCATCACCAAAAAACTCTCACATCTCAACAAAGCCTACCTACACCAGAGAATAGCTGAAGGTTCGCCATCTGCAACATGGTATCTTCAGGCAACCAAATTAGAAAGGTTAAATATCCCAAAAGGAATCCACAGGGAAATAGCAGTTAGGCTATATAGACTACGTCTAGGTTACAGATGCAACTGGGAGATTGGTGAAACCCGACAGAGAGTGCATCTTCTGCCAAACTGTCACAGAAAAGCCATTACTTCACTATCTTCTGGAATGTGAAGCAACCAGTGACCTTAGAAGAGCTTTAAGAGTTCCTGAATCATGCAGTGGCCACCCTGAAGCCATCAACACAGCCACTCTCCTGGTCAACAAAGGTGTCCAGCAGCTGGACACCCTCATAAAGACTGTGAAGCAGTATCCTCCCCCGCGATAACAGCTTGATGGTTAAATGCAAACTCAGAACACTGGGAAAAAAAAAAATTTGTAATAATTACGGGACATCTCCCGTCACGCAGGGTGCAGTCGCACCTCCACAAATCTCCAGTATCAGCTCTTGATACTGGTAATGGCTCAAAGGGCCACACTTACGGGCTATTCATGCCCGTGCCACCTTTTGGGTGGCTTAATCTTCATCAATCAATCAATCTCCTCATCACAATCGACTTGAGAATGGTCCAGGACGGACCGAAACGTCGTCGTCGTCCCTTCAACTTTTAGTGTGTGGTCTGGTCAACAAAGTTCCAAGTAGCACGGGCTATGGTGAGCCCGTAGTGGACTTACCTGGCACAGGAGCGGTGCTGTGTGGCGTTTAACTAGCTTTGTGGCTGAACCAGAAATCCCCACAGCAATTTGACCACAACAAAACAAATAAGACAGTAGCTTTTTGTAAGTACATAAGTGGAGGGTGCAGGAAGCCTCGAGTGTGTCAGCCTGGCTCTACCAACCTCCTGTCTTCTATATCAAACTTGATGTGTAACTTGTTTTTCCTGTTCTGAGGTTGCAGTTGCTTTGTTTTATTGGATTTAGGCTTCCACTTCTTTTTATTGGGAAATGTTTTGGTGTTGACGTGGGTCTTCATGATGGCTGGCTGGCTCACACACACACCCTCATGGTCCCTCTACCCTACTCTCATCTCCATCACTTGCTGCGATATTTTAATCTTATAAACTCAACAAAACTAATTTAATAAATATAATTAAACTCGGGGTTAGTATTAAGGGCAGTATATTTCATGTATTATATATATATAATCCCTACTTGAGCTAAGTCACACTTCAAAATATATACATGATTTGATTATTTTATTGGCAGTATGGATTTTAATTTGACTTAAGTGGAATTGTTGATTGAATTACAAGAGAGAGAAGTGTGTGGTAGAGGTGTGACTGAGGAGGGAGAGTAAGGAGAGGAGGCGACCAGTGTTGTGGGAGAGGGCCACCACCGACGCCGACTCCTCCACAGTGCATTCACTCGGCGGGTTTTATGTCACATTCTCCGCCACGGACGCACTAGGTACGACTTGATGCCCCAAACTCTACCACGGAAAGGTTGTGGGCGTGGGCGTGGGTAGAGGGATGTGTTGTGTGTGTAGGGGCGTGGGCGTGGGCGTAGAGGACAAGCCAGGCCGTCGGGGGGGCCATAGGACACGAGTCTTGGGGCAAGGAAGGAAGGATCTTGCCCCCTTCCTTCCCTGGGGCAAGATCTTTCCCCTTCTACCTTGGGCTGGATGGTAGAGTGACGGTCTCGCTTCATGCAGGTCGGCGTTCAATCCCAGACCGTCCAAGTGGTTGGTCACCATTCCTTTTCTTATCCTGACCCCTTCCCATATAGTCGTAATGGCTTGGCACTTTCCCCCAGAAAATTACCTTACCTCCCCTTCTACCTATTTCTGGGTCTTAATTCCTGGCTCCAGGGGACGATTGGCCCACCAAGACGTGCCAAGGTGCCCCTTGGGTACGACTCGCGTCACCTGGTAGACTGGTATATGAGCATCTACCTCTGGTAGATATGGTGACGGTGACAGGTAGATTGTTAGTCTACGTCAAGAGTCTGTCCAGGCTAAGTTAGGATAATTTAGCTAAAAGTGTTTCTGTCGAAACGTCAGGTAAGTGAACTTATTGTAGGCTGTTGGTGTATGGTTTTGATTAGTCTTTCAACGTAAAATACAAATTGATATCCAAATTAAAATAAAAAAAAATTCAAATGTTTATTCAGGTAAAGTACATACATACAAGAGGTGATACAAAAATTGATAGATTTATACATAGAGGTAGTACATACAATGCCTAAAGCCACTATTACGCAGAGCGTTTCGGGCAGAGTACACTAAATACTAGTGTACAAATAGTACACTAGTAAACCAAGAGACTTATTTACATGTACCCAAGAGGGTATTTACATGTACCTAATATGTGCGTTCCCATGGCAGTACATAGGGAGCCCTTCCTGGAGTTAGGCAACTGTTATGAGGTTTTATTCTGGGGAGGAAGGTTTTACAAGGGTTCATCCCTACCTCACCAAGTTAATATCTTTTTATTCAAACACATTTGAGGCAGTTAACAATAGGAAATTGGAGTATGAATGAACCTCAACTAGGCCTTCAATAGGCCTTTAATACAATTCTGTATGAGGCTGCATAGTAAGGTAGAAGTGAATGGCATCGGACGAAACTCGCTGAACTGGATCAAATCATAATAACTTTAAGACAGGAAACAAGGTTGACTCCAGACTATGTACCTCCTTAAAAGTTCCTCTGTAACAAGGGGCAAATACGTACACATGTATATACAAATAAACATACATAAACTGTATACATACATATACTGTATACATATATACATACATGCACAATTAGGTGAGTATACATATATATATACATACATACCCACTGTACTGCATATTAGTTTTATATATATGTATTTTTTTGTTTACAGTGACCAGGCAAGATGTCTATGTCAGGTGCAGAGTACCTGGCTTCCATCTATGGCACAGAAAAGGATAAAGTAAACTGCTCCTTCTATATCAAAACTGGGGCTTGCCGGCACAGTGAAAGATGCTCTAGGAAGCATAACAAACCACAGTATAGGTAAAGGACCTCATTACGAATTTCTTTTTTAAGTTTTTATTTAAATGCATTATAATTACCATACATTTATTACAGAATTCACCCCTGCAACCCTATTTAGCTGCTGTAATAATCATTACTATAATTCAGAGACTGGGCCTTATTGTGGCATATATCATGCCATATGCAGGCATGGGCTTCAGTGTAATTGTTGAGCAATTAAATGCAAAGGTTTCCTAATTATGCATGTGGAAAATTTGATTAATGTTGTGTTTACAGTTGCTAGCCCCAAGAAATACTGGGTAGGCTGGTCGGCAATTATTTTTCTTGCAGGTTATTTTTTGTCTATTTTACAGTATTAGGTATGATACAATATTATTTTTCTCGAAAAAGAAAACTCTACAAATGAAAATGAAACAATTTGTTTGGCCTCCTTTAAATGGAGTTGGGAATACTGTACAGTACAGTACTGTAATTTAAGTAACGAGTTGCTGCTGACATAATAATACAGTATTGTATTCAGTCTATGTCTATTTGAGAATTTTTGTCTGTTCAAGGGTGGTGGCCAGATAGATGTTTGTAGCTAGTCTCAAATTTCACATATGAAGCATGTGGGGTAGGGGATTGTAATAGGCCAGTCAGGGTCAGCTGCAGTGCCACACTAAGAAATGTCAGCATCTAACACCCCTCCCCCCCTCCCCCACCAACCCCCCTTTGCTGCATTTTTTTTGCAAATTTTTGCATTTTCTTTGCAAATCTAATACATTAGTTCCCTGTAGACTTGTTTAACCTCTAGATGTGCAGGCTATTTTGATGCATTGTCTGTCGTGCACGGAACAAAATTGTTAAAAAAAATATAATTTTTTTTATTAATTAGCATCCAGGAAGTGCCAGAACTACAAAAATCTGTGAAAAATCTCCACCTTTCATGGTTTAGATATATTGTTTACCTGTCGGAGAAGGTGCTGCACGGGAATAACTTGGTCCATTTATTTTTGTTTCTCGCCTTATTTAATTTTTTCATTCTCATATATTGTGTGTCAATAGTGGTATTCAATATGTATAACTGGAAATAGGTAATGTACAGAAATGTGTATAAATATATATACTGTATAATATATATATATATATATAAAATGCTTAAATCTTGTAATTGCACATAGCACACATTTTGCATGCAAATATACACATGAATATCATTAGTTTGCTATTGTTAAGTTCAGTGGTTCATAGCATGGCTGCCCTGCATGTTCAGTCACTGGATGGTGATACACCAGACATGGTCCCAATCGTTTTACTAAGGCCCTAGAAAGAAATTAAAGGATTTAGGATATTTGCCCAAATATGGCAAATTATTGACGTGAAGTCTCATGTCAAATGATTTCCCACTAGAATAGGTGTGGAGTTTGAATAAAATGGGGCACCTTTAATCCTCTTCGGGTGATTGGAGCACATGGGCCACTCTCAAGAGGTTGGAGCAGGGTGAGGGTTAAGTGCTTTGTGATTTTTCTGAGAGGGGGAGAGGGTACAAGTGGAGAGAAAGAAGGGGAGGGGGAGAGGTGGGCCACTCTCCAGGGTGGGACGGCCTTGGTATTGAGAGGGCGATCGTGAGCAGTGCATGCAACAGCACCTCACAGCACTGCCATGCAGCTTGTACTCACACCATCACTTCAAACTAATGAGAACTGCTATTATTTAATGATAATGTCATGGAAGATTCTGACTGCGATAAGAACTATATACAAGGTTCAGATGTCAGTGAACCCAGAGCTGGTTATGATGATCACAGCACAAGGCAGACATTCACAGTACACAGTTTGGTGCATTTACACATCATGAAATTGGACCTAGTGTTCCTTTAGAAAATAACTGGAAAATTATTCATATTCAGGATTTAGTGACCAGGATTCTGATCCTAGTAGCAGTGTTGTGGCTAGAGTTAACAATGAATAGTAGTATATTGGGAGGCATTTTGCTGTGTCGAGTATTGTCAACAGCTGACTAGCATTTGGTGTGCTATGCTGTGCTTGTTTTACAAAATTACCAGACCCACCAGAACTGTTTAGTATGGTTCATAAAAATGTATATAATTATAATGTATATATGGTGTAATATCAGCAAAACAAGTACTGTATGTTCTTTGTTCTATGAATATAAAATGGTGCACATATTAGTGACACAAATATATTTGAGCCTTCTGATGTTCTGCATATTTTATTATATAAATTTCTCAAATGTCACTATTAAATATTATTACCGGGGAAAAAAAAAAAAGACAAAACAAATCGGACATTGAGATAAGTAAAAATATCTTTGCAGCAACTCCTGCCCTATGTCTGGCCTATTGCGATTGAATCGTGACATCATGAAATATCCTTGCTTGACTACTGCCAAAGCAAGTAAAAATAATTAAATATTTCCCAGGATCAGGAAATGTATTTTAACAATATTAGAAGGAAAACGTATTTACTTCCTTCCACCCCGCACACCAGAGCATTGTCTTCTATAAATGGGGGTGCAGCCCAAGAATTAAAATTGGAACAGGGAAGGGAATTATCAGGGGAAAACACCAAGTCATTACAACTATATAGCACTTGGAACAGGTCAGGATAAGGATTTGGGTTGGGACGGAGGGAAGGAATGGTGCCCAACCACTTAGACAGTCAGGGATTGAATGCCGACCTGCATGAAGTGAGACCATCACTCTACAATTGTACAAGTGTGGTCAATATGTAGTGCTTTGGCTATGTCTAATCTCCGATTATCGTTCTATGTCATTTCGGTATTGTTGTTTAGGATGTATTTGATAATGCTCTGGTGTGTAGAAATAATGTTTTTTGATTGTCTTGTTATTTTTGCATTGTTGGGCACCTTGAAAGAGATGTTTGTGTGTGTAATTATCTAAGAGTAGTAAAAGTATTAGAGCTGTGCTCCCACCTTTCCAGTACTCTGTCATATAACTCTTTGAAACTATTGATGGTGTGTGTGTGGCAGGGGGGGTGACTAGATTATATATAAATAATATAGATCATTGTTTTGGTTATGTCGTGCTGCATCTTGTGTTAGCAGGAGTCACACTTCTGTTGATTGTCTATTAGGACTTTCCTGTTTTGTGGTCCATTGAAAAGAAGTTCCTGTAGAAGAACAACTTATGGGACAAATTCTAAAAGACAGATTAACGACTTATTGCAATCTCTTCAGCTTTTTTTAATGAACTTTGGACATTTTCATCATATCTGTTGTTGACAAGGATCTGCCTTACTTTGCCGAGTTCTTGTCAACCTGCTTCGAACTAGTGCCGTATAAAAGAACAACTGTTGTCATAGCCAACAACAGCACTTCTCTTGTACTGGTCAGGGTTTTCATTGGTATCACTTTTCCATATTAGTTCCCTTGGTATAGACTAAAGTATGGAAGCTGCCTTTTTTTTTTTTTTTTTTTTTTTTTTTTAACATACACTTGTGGCAGGTAGCTTGCCTTCACTCTCCACATTGTAAGTAAAATCTAAATGCATGGAATTTTGTTCAGAAGCTTCCTTAACTACTGGGATGTGCTACGTTTGTGAAATTCTTCCTGTGTGCCAAAAATAAAGTGTTTGCAAAAAAAAAAAAATGTCTGTAAAATGATGAATATTTTTGCTGAATATATTTAAAAAAAAAATCAAATTCCACTTACTTTGACTGTGGGAACGTGGACTAAGTGGTGCGTGACGTCATCACAGGCTATTCAGTGATGACGCTAACACTGTTCATCTATGCTACTTGTATCAGATGCATCATCACTGAACCCAGAAAATTATTCATATATAAAAATTGGAGATAACACGGGTGATCATGGGTGGTGCTCGGCTGCTACTGGATTCGCTCGTTGTATAGTCCTCGTCGGTGCTGTATCACTTGTATCCGACCCTTGTGTTTGGTCCTTAGTGTGCCTATCTACATCAATATCATGACCTTTATGTTCTTCAAACAACAAGATTTTAATGTCACCGACAGAGCAATCTTTCAAAATCGTGTCGGACAGGTGTTTAGGAGCCAGAGGCGCATGCACCACCCATGGTTGCTCACGCAGAACTGAGCCATCCAGCAGCCCTAGGACATTCTGGGAATTTTTTCCAAGATGGCTGCCTCTCGCTGGAGGTCCCAAGAGTCCACTTTGTACCCAACCAACCACGTGCGCGATTTGAATGGTGCGAAATCTTAAATTGGTGTTTCCTCAGCCTGCGCAGTTTTGAGCCGATGAGTTTTCTTGGCCAGCGCAGTACTGTACAGTGGTTAAGCAGTAGTAGGTACTTGAGAGGTAACAGTTGCCAGAAATCGTCAATACTGTACTGTACAGGCTGTGTGTACAGTAGATGTCAGATTTAATGTCCATTATTTTTTTTTATAATATAAGTGCTTAAATCCGCTGTAATGCATAGGTTGTACAAGGTTTTTTATTACCTTGCTAAGAGTATTGAAGTGAAATATTTCTATTGATATTTCAGTGTCAAAATTAGTACTATACAGCATTGCAGTTATTCCCCATGTGCACATAAGTCATGTTTTGCACACCAAAAGTCAGCCAGCCTTACTATATAAAAAAAAATCAACAAATTAATTTATTTTCCATTCTTTATTTTGATTTCAATACGATAAAACGATTGATGGCAATAATTTGATGCCTAAATTATATACAGTATTTATGATCATTATTTGTCCCCCTCCCTCCCCTCAAAAAAAAAAAAAAAATGCAGAATTTTTGTTCCCACCAAGCAGAGTGAGGTGGTGGGAGGCAAGCTTGCCTGCATGAGCTGCTTACCACTCATCACCAGTGTAGAGAGAGAGGAGGGCAATGATGTGGGTGCACTTACGCCTACTCTTCTTTCGTACTGTATCTATTTTTGCTCTTTAGAAATATATATTTTTCCTTAATGCCCTCAACACTATATTTGCTGCTGTAAGACATCTTATTAACAAAAAAGGCAAATATAGTGCACTGTGATAATTAATAATACCAGCTCTGTAACTTCATGTCATCCA